TGTGTGTGTGTGTGTGTGTGTGTGTGTGTGTGTGTGTGTGTGTGTATGTGTGCGCGCGTGCGTGCGTGCGTGCACTCACTCTCCAGTGCCCAAATGTGCTAAGGGGCCGCTGGTTTCCGGGAGAGGCCACAGCTGGAGAGGCTGGAGGGAGGAGCCTCAGGGTGACAGCTGCAGGGAGGGAGGGGGGAGCAGGGGTGGAGCTGCCTGAAATGCTGGGAGGGGGTGGGGGACCTGGAGCGTGGGGCTCCCTTGGATCCCGCCCCGGCCCGCCCTGCCCCGCCCTGCCCAGGCTAGCCCCCGCTGGGCCTCTGCCTCCGGTGCCCAGCAGGAAGGCCACGCTATCTTTGTGTGTGTGTGCGTGTGTGCGTGTGTGTGTGTGTGTGTGTGTGTGTGTGTGAGGGAGAGAGTGTGTGAGTGCCAGAGAAATGATTAACCCCAGTGTGTGACGTGCGAGCAGGGCCGATTCAAAGTTTGCTTTCTCCCCGCGGGCAGAGGCTGCCCGGGAGAGGCCGGACCTCGCGCTCCGCTGGCTCGTCCGCTCGCTCCGTGGCCTTTCCCTCGGCCCGGCCTCTCTCTCTGGCTCTGGCTCTCCCACACTCGCTGACTGTCTCTGCATCTCTTTAACCCTTCGCCTCGGAGCCCGAGCCGCAGAGGCAGCGGCGTCTGCCCGCCAGCCCAGGGCGGCACATGGGGGTGGAGGCCCCCCCGGCAGCCCTGACCATGAGGACTCTCCGCAGGTTGAAGTTCATGAGTTCACCCAGCCTCAGTGATCTGGGCAAGAGAGAGCAGGCAGCCTTGGATGAGCGAGGGGCCCAGCAGCGCCAGGCCTGCTCCAACGCCACCTGGAACAGGTAAGGGCTTGTCTGCCTTCCCCGGCCGGCCCGTCCCACACACTGCCGCTGCGCTTTCTCTCTGCGATAGGCTCCTAGATTTAGAGCTGAAGGGACCTCAAAACTCAGGCAGTCCATTTTACAGATGAAGAAACTGAGGCTCATCAAGACCAAGGGTCGTATCTAGAGTCATACAGCTAATGAGTTAAAGATGATTCTGGGTTCCAGCTTTACCACTAACTCACAGTGGTGAAGCACCTAAACTTTCTGGATCTCAATGCCCACAGTTGTCAAATGAGTGGGTGGGCTCTTTCACTGGTAGATGAATGAATAGATGGATGGATGGATGGACTAGGTGATCTCTAAGGTCCTTCCTGGTTCTAAAACCTTATTAAGAGCAAACATTTCCTGCCTGCCTCCCTCCTTCCCTAATGGCATTTTTGTACAATTTCGGTGGTGTTTTTGGCTAGATACTCGAGGTGACCTTTATCTAGACTTATCTCCCCAGGCAGGCATGTGCACTCACTGTCTTAATGGCCGAGGAGCACACCTCCCCTCCCCCTTCCCCCTCCACACACATACTTCATAAGGCTAAGTCCACTGAGGACGTGGGACAAGCCCAGGTTGGGAATCCTGGCTGCTCCAAGGTGGTGCAAGGGTGTCTCTATGGGCCAGCCCCAACCCAGCACCCCAAAAGCTTTCCTCTTCTCCTTTTTCATTCTTTGTTAGAAAGGATGAGGGAGAGGGGAAGGGAGAGGGACTTGAAAATGAAGGTGATTGTAAAAAAACACCTCTACAGTGTGCTTCCCTCTTACCAGCCCTGGGAAGCATGTAGCTCAAGGATCAGCATCCCCACTTCACAGATGAGGAAACTGAGGCTCTGAACAAGGAGATGAGTTGTCTAAGGTCACCCTTTGAATGAAGTCTTCTGTTTGTATTCAACTCAGTGAGTCTCTGGAGCAGCTCCCCTGTTTTCTGGGCTAGAAAAGTGAAACAAACAGGCCTTTTCTTCAAAGAATTTATTATACTGGTGGGGGAAAAGGTCTGTGCCCAGATCACTGCTTTCACGAGAGGTAGCAGACATTTCAGGGGTGGGAGCACCAGACAGCTGGGGCGAGAGCAAAGGCTTCCTGTGGGAGGTGATTGCTAAGTGGTGTTTGAGCTGAAGGTGAGGAGACATCACTCCAGGGACGACCCAGAGACCTTGCTCAGGAAGCACTCAATCCGTGACTTGGGCTGGAACCCAGGGTGTGTGAGATCTGCAGGGGGAGAGCCAGATGGTGAAGGGATTTGAGTTCTCCTGCCAAGCTGGCATTTTCTCCTCTCTCCCCAGCATTGCACAGCCGTGGGGTGCCCTGGGACCTGCCTCCATCCCTCCTCCAGGTGGAATGAAAGGGGCTATTCATTCCTCTTTGCAGCTCCAGGCCGGCTGCTGTGGGAGGCAGCTGAGAAGGGAGGGATCTGGGCCTTTCAGCAGGCAGAATGAGGGCAGAGCCCCTGCTCTGGTGCAAGACCGCAGCAGACACGTTCAGAGATGGTCCCATCTGGCATGGTTCCACCACCCTGACTTCTTGATTCTCAAGACATCCTCAATTAAAAGCTGGAAGGAAAGTGAGAGGCCTGATAGTCTAATCTCACTTAGCACATAGTAGGTTCTTAATAAATGTATATTGGAGCCCTCATCTTACCAAGGAGGAAACTGAGTCTCAGAGAAGTGAAGTGACTTAAGATCATAACTCTGGGGCTAAGAGGGAGCTTTTGAGGCCAGGTACTGATCCCCTTCATTTTATGGGTAGGGACATTGAGGCCCAGTCAGGACTCTCCCAAGATCATGCAGGGAGTGAGCTGTGGGGCCAGAATTCACACCGGCTCTTCAGACACCAAGTCCTGGGCCCTTGTTGTCCCCAACCTCCAAACAGCTGTGGCAGCCCACTGCCCACACATCCCAGGGCTGTGCTGTCCCCTCCAGATCAGGGCTGGGCCCTTGGGGGCGGGGGACAGGGGTGAAGTCCTTGCCTCTGTCCCAAAGTGCTCTCTCATTGGGGACCCATTGGTCTTCTTACTCCCTGAAGCCCTGGGGGAGACAGAGCCATAGGGCCTGCTTTACTCATGGGGAAATTGAGCCAAGGAGGGAGACATCGCTTGTCCAGGGTCCTGAAGCTGGGTTCAAGGAAGTTTGGGGTTTTTTTTTTCCCCCACTGCTTAGGCAGAGTGTCTTGGAATTAGGAGGGTTAGAGTTGATTATAATGACCCTGCTCTAATGTCTGAGTTCTTTACTCCAGCATACCCCTCCCCCCATGACCAGGCTCATAACAGGAGACCTGGGGGGAGGGGAAGTTAGTATCCTGGAAGCCTAGAGGTTATCCGCAGTGGGCCAATGTCATAGGGAGACCCCTGGGCCTTGAAGAAGGGGGCTGAAAGGGTCGAGTCTCCGTGTCCCTCTCCTGGTGCCCCTGGCTCAGCTCCTTCTGGGGATCACAGTAATTCTCACTCTTAACCACTTTAAGAATGACAGATAAGCAATCAACCTTAAAGCTGCCAAAGTACTTTCAGTGCTACAGGTGTTAATAGTCCCATTTTACATTTGGGAAAACTGAGGCTCAGAGAGGCGAATTGCCTATAGTAGCAGAGGAAATGGGATGTGAACCCAGGTCTGCCTGACTCAGAGGCTGGATGCTGGGATGTGCTGGGTCCACTAAACTTTAATGCTGGGAGGTGGCTAGAACAGGTATTAGCATGGAAGGGAAGGAACTGGCCTGGGCGCTCTGATCCTGCTCCCTTCTGTCCAGCTGAGGGTCCTTCTGACCATCCCTCACTCCCGCCCCTGACATCTTGGGCAGGGCCACTCGGTGTTGGTTTGAGGGCCCTGGGGGGAGGGGGAGGAGATCTGCAGACTCCAGTTATCTTCGATTTGTGTCTCCTTCCCCCACCCTGTCTGTTTACCTTCCCCAGGCCCCACCCTGAGTGACCCAAGGCTGGGGGGATGGGTTAGTGTCTAAGGATTGACCTGGCAGGTCCAGGCCCCTGAAGGGCAGGTGGGTCTGGTGTCAGGGAGCAGGTTGGCACAGGCCTGCTATGGGGGGATGCAATGACACCCAATAGGTGCAGGATCTTGCTGGGGCTCTGAAAGGTAGAAGAGGCCTGGAAACCTGGACCCTCCATTCTGTATGTAGCTGGAAAAGGGAAGCCATTCACCCGAGGTCACTCCTCATGAAAGGAGGCGGGGAAGCAGCCAGACTCAGTCTGTCCTGGTCTCTTTCCACTCTGCCCCAGAACCTGCCTGCCTCATGGGCCCAGGCAGGGGCTCTGCCCAGAACCTGGGCCAAGACAAACTGGATTGAAGGAGCTCAGCTCCTCCCCACCACTTTGTGCTCACACAGAATCTCCCCAATCCTGGAATCGTGGGAATCCAGCTCTGACCTCAGAACCTGGGCTGGCCTGCCTCCCATGGCCTGGGGGTCCGGAGACCTCCAGTCCTGCTGATAGCCCCTGTGAGGTCATCCAAGGCCTCAGAGCTCCATTGTATAGATGAGGAAACCAAGGCTCTTACAAGTCAGAACTGGGATGGGAGTGCTAGTCTCTGGCTTCCCAATCTGGTCCCCTTTCCAGGGAATCCTTCCATGGCAATGGCCCCTGGTCTCATTGGAAGGCCTAGGCAATTCTCTGCTGGAGGGAGGAGGATGTCCAGGGGAAGAGGGGCCTGGAGAACCAAGAAAGAACTGGGCAGGTGGAGCTGGGAGGAGAGAGGGGTGGAACATGGTGGCCATCTGAGGCCTGGGAGGGTGGAAGAGGAGAAGGGCTAGTTGAAGCTCAGGGAAAGAAAACCTTCCTGGCCACTCGAGGCCTCTGCCTCCCCTCTGTCCGTCTGAGAAATGGGCTCCTGGGGAGGCAGTAAACCCCAATTCTAGCGGAGGCTGGGAGACCCCTGGGGGATGTTACTGCCCAGGCCCAGAAGGTCTCTCCCAGCCCTGCATCTGGAAATGAGAGTACCTGATCTTCCCTGCTGTCCTGAGGGGTTTCCCAAGTGTCTTATTTCAGCCAACATGCATTTCCTAAGAGCCTGCTATGGGCTGTGGACTGTGCAGGGCCCTGGGGCTACACAGACAGATATGAAACTAGCCCTGCCCTCAGAGAGCTGACTGTTCTCTGGGGTTTGCCATGTGTAAGTAAATCCAATGTTATAAAAGGTTGTTAAAAGCAAGAGAGAGAAAACTTACCACCTGGTGAGGTCTGTGCTTAGAAGCAAGTCGAGCATTCTACGAGGTACAGATGAAGAGGGAAGGTGCACCAGGCAGTTCCTCTGGGCAAAGTCTCAGAGGAAGGAGATGGCTAATGGCACACTGAAGGGTTAGACATTATAGAAATTGTGTGAAAGGGAAGGGTATGGAATAAAGTCTGGAAAGGAGTGTGTGTGTGTAGAACATTGTCCTGGTTATTAAGTCCCAGGGCCTCCCAAATCTGCCCTTCCCAAAATAGTCCTTCAGATACTAAAAGGCAGCAAGTGACCAGTGCAGGGTAAATGGGCTGGGAGAGTCTGCCCTTCACGTCACATGCCAAAGCTGGCTTGGGCCTGGCTCCTTCTGCCACTTAGTGAGCCTTGTCTTGGCTTCTCCAGTCCCGTGAGGTTCCTATTGCCGTTCTCTCTGAGGATGCCCAAGGCTGATCATCCCAGGCTTCCCTGGCATGACCATCCAAGAAGGAGCTGGGGAGCCAGGTCTCCCCTCGCTTCTGGACAGGTTTCTTGGTGGCGTTTTCTGGGAGGCTTCGAAATGAGACAGAGAGGCAGCAATGGCGATCAGCACAGGGCAGAGCCTTGGGACAGAGAACGTCAGAGCTTTGAGGGACCTCGGAAGGAGCCATATCAGACCAGGGAAGGAGCTTGGGGAAGAGTGTCAAAGAGGTGGCTGGTGGTGCAGTGGTCAGCACAATGGGCCTGGAGTCAGGAAGCTCGGAGTTCAAATTTGACCACAAACACTTCCTGGATGTCTGCTTCACCTCCTTCTGCCTTTGCTTTCTCAGGAGATAATAATCACCTACCACCGTCAGCATGGTGCCTGGTGCTTAATAGGTACTTAATAAATGCTTATTCCCTTCCCCCTTCTTTTCAGAGCTAGGAGGTTCCTTTGAGCCTGGAATGTCAGAGCAGGAAAGGCCTGGTCTACGCCCACACTGAGTTACCAAGACAAGACTTTCACTGTGGACAGTCCAAGGAGGCTTCTGGGAGGGGGGTTCTGGGGAAGGGGGATTGTTGGGAGCTTTGGGTGAAGCAGAGGAGGCAAGTGCAGGCCCAGAGACTGAGGAGAGCCGCCTAGATGGCGGAGGGGTAGGGGAGTCCAGGGACATGAGGTTGGTAGACTAGCCAGAGGAGTTTGATTATATCTCAAGGTTAGGTGACCCTGGGCTGGGAGTCAAGAGATCTGGGTTCAAGTCCTATACCTGCCAGTATTTTTCTGTGACCCATGTGGTCGCCATTTTCTTCTCTATAAAATGAAGGGGTCGGACCAGCTGGTCAATGAACCCTCTGTCCAACTCCGGCTTTCCCAGCTCTAAGGAAAGGCCTTCCATCCCACGACTGGCGTTTTCTGTTCTGATGTCTCTTCCAGAACCAATGTTCTGTCCTGTCCTGTTTTGTTCCAGTGGAGAAAGTGTTTGGAGCCAGGCACTGACTGCTCTCAGGGCCCCCCTGCAGTGTCTCTGGGACTAAAAGTAGTCAGCTCCTCATCCCCCCCCAGGAGGGAGCATCTGAAAAGCCCAGGGCCCCTCCACCCTTGGCCCAGCTAGAGATAGGTCTCCAAAAGGTAGGACCCATCTTCTGACCTCTCAGGGCTTCGATGCCATGCCTGGCAGGCTAAAGAAGAGGAAACCCCTCCCCCTTCCCTGTGGTCACCAACCTGCCCCTCAGGTTTTTCCTGCCCCCTCCACACCTGATCAGATCAGCCCCAGGGCAGAGAAGGGCCTGGCCTCTGAGTCACTGGAAGTGCTCTGTCCAGTGGAAGTTTTCATGGGACAGGGGAGATGAAAGCCAGCCCTAGCACTGTTGCAGTTTGGGGTACCAGGGGCAGGGGAGGGAGGAGAGTGATTCCTGAGCCATGGGGTGAGAGAGGCTTCATGGAAGAGGCAGCCCCTGAACTGAGCCCAGCAGAATGAAGGCAGAGTTTTCACCTGCTGCTTTGGGCTTTGTCCTCAGGTCACCGGAGCAGGTTGGTAGCCTTGATAGCCCTGGCCTTCCCTTATCCAGGCTAAAGTCAGGGCTCCTTCAAATGGTTCTGGGAGGAGGGGTCTCTAGTCCCTTCCCTGGTCTCCCTCCTCTGGACGCAATCCCACTTTGTCAATGTCAATGCCCTTCCTCCAAGAGGTCACCCACCACTGCTCACGGGCTCCCAGAGGGGTCAGCCTGGGCAGAGGACAGCAGCGTGATGACACCCCGGCTTCCATACACAATGTCTGCTGGCCCAGGGTCTTACTTATTTAGGCCCTTCTTGAGTACCTACTGTGCGCTAAGTTCTAGGCACTGTACCAAGTCAAAAATGAACAAATTCCTGTCCCATTGGGAGACGGCAGTGTGTACATGGGTGAAGATCCACAGACAATATACAAAGTAGGGGTAGGGCAGGGGGTGGGATGTGGGAGCAGGTGTCCCAGCACCTAAGATTCTAAGAGCCTTTTCAGCTCATCAGTGAGCATCCCCAGGGGCCCGGCATAGGAGCCAGGCATAGGGCCCAAGGCTTCCCAAGTCAGTCGTTAAAGGACCCTCTTCCTGGGCATTAGCAATAGCCAAAGGTCTCGGGGAGCCAGGACCCAGCCCTCCCCTGCTGTGCTTTGTTCCTTTTATTAGTGGAGACAAGGAAAGGGAAGGGTCTCTAGCCTTTCCCCTGCCATCTAGCCTCTTGAGGAGGATACCGGGGGTCAGAGTGGCTGCTGCCATGCCCGGTAGCCATACTCCTGCTAAGTAACCTCTCCTTGCTTTTCATCCCTAGCATCCACAATGGAGTGATTGCCGTGTTCCAGAGAAAGGGCCTTCCAGATCACCAGTTGTTCCACTTGAACGAGGGCGTCAGGTGAGTGAACTTCACGGAGAGAGGGCTGAGAGTGAAGGGTAGCCCTGGGCTGGAGCCAGCACAACTGAGATCCACTAGGGCCCTTCCAGGGGGTGAGGCCAATGTGAGCAGAGAATCAGGGGCTGCTAACAGAGCCAAAGCTGAGAAAGAACCACCCAGGGAAGGGGTCAAAAAATGAGAATCCACTGGCACAAAGTAGGTGCAGAGAATGATGGAGGAGCCAGGAGGGGCAGATGTCCCCAGGGCCTCTGTGCAGAGGGGCCACTGCTGTGGAGCTCTGGGCCCCCCTGGCCACCCCAGCTTTTGACAGTGCCATCTGCGGGTTTATCAAGAAACCAAATGGAAATTGCTGTTTCTAGAAGTGATGCCTCTACCCAGCCAAAGGTCACGGAGCTGCAGCCATCATGGAGATCTTTCCATCCAGTGCCTTCAGTTTACAGATGAGAAAACTGGGGCCCAGAGAGGACCAGGGATTAATACACATCAGTGGTGGGATGGAACCCAAGTCCTGTGGCACCAGGATTAGCGCTCCCTGTGCTCAGCTCACGGCTCTGACAGTTGCTGGGGCCACGTCGCACTCCCTTGGTTTCCAGGTGAAGAAAGTGAGCAGGGACAGGCATCTGGCTACCAAGTCACAGGCCCAGAGCCCTGGCACCCAGCCCTAGGGGTCTCGTGGGATGATGTCTGCCTCTCCCCTCAGTGTCACTTAGAGGGCTGAAAGAGCCAGGGATTAGCTGAGTCCTCAGTCAGTCAGTCAGTCAGTCAGTCAACAAGCATTGATGAAGCCCTTACTGTCTGCCCTGCCCAGCACTAAGGACTGGAGATGCCAAGAAAGCAAAAAATGGAAACACCCAGGCTCTGCCTTCAGAGAGCTTTCACTTGCACTGTCCCCATACTCTGTCCAGCTGGGAAACCCATGCCCTAAGGCAGCTCTGGGGCCTAGTAGGCACCTTCCTGAGTTGCTTTGGCGAAAGCTATCATCAGCCTTGCCACCCTCGGCTGGCCGGGTCCTTGGCTAAGAGACCCACCATCCAGTGCCCAGCCTTGAGCTGCCAGGCCCTGAGCCCTCCTGGCACAGTCTATAAGAGCCCAGAACACCATGAGACCAAGGAGGACCTCAGGGGAGGGCCAGAGGCCCATCAGTCAAGCCAAGGAGTCTCAGCTAATCTTCCTTTTACGGATGCAAAACCCGAGGACATGGGGCTATCTGAGGTCCCCCAGCTTGTAGGCAGTGGAGCCTGGCCCCCAGGGAAGGCTTCCGGGGGGAGGGGGAGGAGAGGTCACTGCAGGGTCCTCTTACATGCGACTTGTTCTGGGCTAATTTAATCCAGGGGATCCCAAATCCCAAATTCAGCTGGGGCCAAATGACTGACTCCTGGCACCCTCTCCATTCTCACACATGACAGGCCCTGTCCTGTGACCTCACCCTGGATGCCTCTCTCTGCCCCTCATGCCTGGAAGGCCCTCCCTCCTCACACTCACCTCATAGACAACCCCCCCCCTTCATTTATAGAAGGGCACGACTGAGGCGTGTGACCTCATGTAGGCCTACATAAAGTGTGTGAGAAATGAGAAAACAAGTACAATATAGAAAGGGGAGTCTGGCTGGGGCCTGGACCCACAGAGGAGCAGACATTTGATCTTGGAGGTAATAGCAATTGGTGTTGATTGGCTAGGGCAGTGACATGCTGAGAGGCACATTGAAGGAAATCCCTTTGGCACCTGAGTCGTGGCTCGCCCAAGGTGTCCTGGAAAGGCTGGTAGGAGTGGGGAGAGAGAAATTGGGAAGACCAGACAGCATGTCCATGCAATGGTCCAGGCATGGGATGACGAGATAGAGAGGGGCCAATCAGATAGGCAGGAAGAGGGCCGGGCAAGACCAGTGTCATGGAAACCTAGAGTGGAGGGAGTATCCAGGAGAAGAACATGATCCACGAGGCCATCGAAGGCTGCAGCCCCATCAAGAAGGATGAGGCTTGGAAAAGGCTGTGAGATTGGGTAATTAGGAGATCTCTGGTGACTTTGGAGAAGGCAATCTGAGATGGTTGGAAGCCAGAGTGTGGAGGGTTTAGAAGAGATTGAGGGGAGAGGAAGTGGGGGTCACAAACATGACTAGCTTTTTGGAAGAGCTAGACTGGAAAGGGAAGGGGAGATGTGGGATGATGAGTGGATCTAGGGAGGGATATTGGGAGGCTGGAGTAAACACTGGCCTCTGTCTAGGGAAAAACACGGCAGAAGCAGTAAAGCTTTTCAGTGAAGAAGACAGAGAGACTGAGGTGAGTGAGAGTGAGGACGGATGGAGAACAGAAGACAAGATGGCATCCCCTGAACCAATAGAGGCCCCAGGGGACTTGATTGTGCATGTGAGCCACAGGGTCCCAGAGAAGAGGAGAGAGTGGGGGGGGGGGCTGGGGCCAGACCCACGTCTGTGCACTCGGACTCCTGTGCCCTTTTCACTCCGTGATGGTACTTCAGACCCAAGAGACTTTTCCACTGGATGGTTTAATGGCAAATGAGAATTCCAAGATCACAGAAACCTCATAGCCTAATTCCTTTCTGAGGGCTACATGTGATGCTAGTAATTAATTAATCCTATTGCAAATGACTGATGCTTTTGAGGCAGGCAAAGGGAAAGAGGGAGGGAGGACATAATCTTTGTGTTCTAACAGGCTCCCAAAGCGAGGCTAGATAAGGAATGGATAAGAATCTCAGAAAGACAGAATGTACAGAATGGGAGGCATGATGGAACATGAAATATCAGAGCAGGGAGGGGCCTTAGAACAGGGGATGTCAGGGCTGGGAGGAGCCTGAGAACAGGGGATGGCAGGGCTGGGAGGGACCTTAGAACAGGGAAGGTCAGAGCTAAGAGGGGCCTTAGAACAGGGAAGATCAGCTGGGAGGGGCCTTAGAACATGAAATGTCAGAGCTAGGAAGGGCCTGAGAACAGGGAAGGTCAGAGCTGGGAGAGGCCTTAGAACAGGGGATGTCAGGGCTGGGAGGGGCATTGGAATAGAGAATTCCTAAGGTATAGGTGCAGTACAATGCAAAACAGAATGCCGCAACTCAAATTAGCATGTTGTCTAATGCATTAGGAAACTGAGAGCCAGAGAGAGGCCAGGACTTTGCCACAAGCACATGAGTACTAAGTAGCTTAGTGGAACTCAAGCTTCAGTTCACTGATTCCAAATCCCATGCTTGTCCTCCCAGGGCACCACGTTGCCTCTCCGAAGTCCAGCTGTGTTACAAGGAGCTCACAGAGGTCAGAGTACACAATGATTTGCACTGAGGATTTGCAGGAAGCAGTCCTAGTTTTATTCAGTTGGGGAGCAGCTTACCAAATCGTGGTGCCTGGATGTATTGGGACTCTTAAGAAATGACAAATGTGAAGGATGAACGGAAATAAAGTGAAGGAAGCAGGCCCAAGAGGACAATCAGCGCAATGACTGCAAGCCTGTAAATGAACAGAGCAGCAAGAACACCCCAGACGGAGCCTTGTGGATTGTGGGAAGGCACCTCCTTCCACTTCTCTGCTGAGGTGGGGGCCTATGGATGTGAAGCACTGCACACTTTGTCCAAGCAAGCTGATGAAGTCACGAATTGTCTGGAACCGCTCCTCCCCCTCCCGTTCTTTGTTACAAAGGATGCCGGGTAGAGAAATGGGACAGAAATATTTGGAAATGAAGGCAATTTTAGAGTAGGAGATATACATAAAAATGAAGAACTGAGGGGAAGAAGGGCTCGATTTGCATTCCACCTCCAGCAGTTGCTGGCTGGTGACCACAGGGAGTCCCATGACTGTCTCAGCTTCAGTTTCTTCATCTGTAAAAAGGAGCATCCCTAGAATGGAAGGAAAAGGTGGTTGTGAGCTGCTTTGTGGCTATAAAGGCTGTGCACGTGTTTGCTCTTGAAGAGGGCACCTTGACCGGGATGGTCATTTCCACCCTTGGTCTTTGAGGGTGTGTTCAGATGGGTGGGACCTCCTGAGCCTGGTGCTGGCCCCGGGTGTTCCAGAAGGAGCCTGGATCTTCATCCAGCAGGGATGTGGATCCTCAGAACATCATCCATGGGAACAGCCCCAAATGGTGCATTAGTCCTGAGAATGTGGCTGGGGGAGGAGGGGTAGGACAGGCAGTGAGAATACCACACAGAGCCAGCAGACCCACATTCAAGTCACCTGTGCCAAGTCTCCCTCATCCATGAAAGAGGGAGGATGCTGATTGCAGGCCCCAGCTCCCAGGGCTGCTCGGGGAATCCAGTGTGGCAGCAGCTAGAACACAGAGAGATTGGGTTCAGCGGATGACTGACTAGGACTTGGGGAAGTGGGGAAAGGGTCCAAGGACCAAGGTTCAAATCCTGGCCCTGCCAGGTAAGAGCTGTGTGTCTCCCCACAAGTCCCTGGACCTCTCTGGGCCTCAGTTTCGCCTTCTGTAAACTGGATTCAACAAACTTTGGTTAAGGATCTCCAAAGTTAGGTGTGAGACATAAGAGCCCTGCCATGGAAGAACTTGCAGTGGGGAGACCAAACATTAACCTGGGCTCCTCAGGATGCACATGAAACATCATGTCAGGGATGGAGGCAGGGGCACGAGGGTCAGGAGAGGACTTGGGGCTGGTACTAGGGAGCTAGGGATTCTCTAGGGGTGGGGGAGAGGGAGGGAGGAGGAAGTGTCTGGTTAGCAGGCAGCGTAAATGGCAGGAGATGCAGAGGCCCCCAGATGTGGGATCCTGGGGAGCAGAGGGCACCCCTGAAGACTTGGGGCCTGAGAATCTTCACACTCTTCCGGCTCTTGATTTGAGGAGCCCAGATCTGGCTGCTTCTCCGTGGGTGTACAGAATGAGCGGAGCCATGGGGGAGGCACCCTGTTCTGATGTCTGCATCTCTTTGTCTTCTGAGCACAGGCAGCTGCTGAAAACCGAGCTGGGCTCTTTCTTCACGGAGTATCTCCAGGTGAGTGTGGTCATCCTGCCCCCTTCCACTGAGGGCTTGGGTTTGGGGCTGGGGGCCAGCAGGAATAGGAATGGGAAGAACTCCCTCCCCCCAACTCCTGCCATCATCATCACTGCATTTGTACGGCGCCTCGCAGATTAGGAGAATGGAGCAGATTAGGGATGGAAGCTTGGGGGGATCAGTAAGAAACCTTTAAGGGGGTGGAGAAAATATTTCTGGCAAATTCCTATGTCATCCTTTTGAAATGAATCTGTGTTTTATTTTTTACCTTCACATGCCTGTAAATGCTAGAATTTCTTTCCTTCCATGATGAATGGGGGTATGGGAATATTTGCTGAAAGCCGAGGGGTTGGGGACCAAGCCAGGGAGCTTGGGATGTCCAAGGCCCCTCTGCAGTCATGACGTCCCACATTCTAAGCTCTAACCTCCTGACCCCGTGTGATTCTGGAAAGCACTGACACCTTGGGCTCTTCTGCTTTCAGAATCAGCTGCTAACCAAAGGCATGGTGATTCTCCGGGACAAGATTCGGTTCTATGAAGGTAAGGCCAGCCAGGTGATCCCAAGGTCTGAACACCTGACCTGCCAAGTGTGATTTTCATCCTCATTCATTTAGCAAATGTCTGTCAGGTGGCTCCTATGGGTAGGGCCTCATGCTATGATCCCACAACACTGGCCTCCAACACGATGGCCCTCCATCTCCCGACTCCCAGCATTTGTGCTGGCTGTCCCCCATGCCTGGAATGTCTGCCCTCCTCACCTTTGCCTCCCCACTTCACTGGCTTCCTACAGGGTTCACTTCCCACCATCTGCAGTAGATGTTTCCTGGTCCCTGCAGCTGTGAGGGCCTCCCTTCGCACATTACGCCTCCCATGTGCCTGCTGCGTTGTGTCCCCTGTGATACTGTGGCCGTGTCGAGGGCAGGGGCTGTGGTCTCTCTCTCAACTTTCTTTTCATCCCCAGGGCTTAGCCTGTTGCCCCATCCGTGATTCTAGAGCACAAACTCACTTACACACGGGAAGGAATTCGAGGGCGTCCCTTCTGGTTGGGGGCTGGGGCAGGGATCAGAGAAGGCTTCTTCAGGGAGCTAGCCCAGGACTCAGCTTTGGAAGATGAGAAGAATGTGACCACACCGATGGGGCAGGGGCAGACACACAACCATGGGAGCAAAGGAGTGGAGGTGGGAAATTACTAGGCATTTGGGGGTGGGAGAAAATAGCTCATAGTGCTCCCAGTGGAAGGGTGGAGGGCAAGGTGAGAGAGAGAGAAAATGGGTGTGTGTTATAAGTGTGGTACCTGTTATTACTGTCATACTGGCGTGCGAGGACCTCTGAGGTGTGACCAGTGGGACAGCCTGGCGTCCCAGAAGAGCCTGGTCAGGGTTAGTGGACACAGAGCTGTGTGTGTCCCTTCAAGGGATGGCTCTCCTCTGGGAATGTGACGCTGGCCCCCCCTCATCCCTATCAGGGGACTTGACTCATTCCTTTTCCCCATCATTTCAGGTCCTTCCATATTGTGGGCACCCCCCACCCCCACTACACATGCACACACCCCTCCCAGGAGAACCTGGGGGCCAGTGGCCAGTTCAGCCCAACACTCCTCCTCATGAGGGCACAACCTTGTGGACCCATTGGAAGCAAAGATGCCAGAGACAAGCACCATTTGAGTCTCTCTTGAGAACACAATTCCATAGGATTGTTGATGCAGAGCTAGAAGGGGCTTTAGGTCTCCTCTTGTCCCACTCCCTTGCAGAGCAAAGGCCCCCAGAATGCAAAGGACTTGGCCAAGGGCACGCAGCTAGCAAGTCGCCAGCCAGGATTTGAATCCAGGTCCAGCACTGTGCTCAGGGCACTGGGCTTCGTAACCCATCCATTGCTCATGAGAGCTTCTGGGAGAGGGGCAGGCACTCGGAGTGGGTTTGCCAAGTGCGTGATGGGCTCTAGCGTCTCAGGGGCCAACGGACAGGAAAGGACAACAGTGATAGCGCTGTCCATTCTAGGGTAGGGTGGCGCTGCCATGATGGCAATGGCGATTGATTTATCCCCTGATTTGGGACTACAGGTATTTCACTGTGGGGGAGGGGGTATGCAGGGGGAGGGAGGGGGAGGGGAGAGAGAGCTCTCTCATGACAGTAGAAATGGTGACACTTTAAAGATGAGGACGATGATACGGACACATGTTATATTATCACATTGTAGCACATCATATGTTGTTTCATCACATTACATTGTATTCTATCACATATTACACCATATTGTGTTATCTATTACATTACATTACAATACATTCTGTCCTGTTAACTGTATTCTATTATGCAGAGGGCAGAGAGGACAGAGCCCTTTCCTGCAGCTGTTACAACAAAACTGGGGCCTAAGTGTTCCCATTCTCCCCATTTCACGGATGGAGCAGCTGGGAAGCTCAGTCCATAGAGTGCTGGACTTGAAGGTGGGAAGACCTAAGTTCAAATCCTGCCTCAGACCCTTATTGGTCATGTGGCCCTGAGCAAGTCACTGAACTGCCATCTGCCTTGATTTCTTCAGTTGTGAAATAAGACTAAAAAAAAGTGGTGACTTCACAGAGTAGTGGTGAACGTGAATGAGATAATGTCTGTAAAGTTCTTTGTAGACCTTATTGGCCAATGTGAGTGTCAGCTGTTAGGTGAGGAAACTGAGGCTCACAAAGGGAAAACGACTGTCTCAGGACTCATGGCTAGTGAGAGGCAGACCTAGGACCCCCCAGGCCTCCCTGAGATTGGAGAGATGTGGGCCAGACAACAGCAGCTGACTCAGCCTTGATGTCACCCTGGGTGGCCACTCAAAGCCTCCCAGTATGGCACTCGCCCCATTGTCTAGGCTTGCTGCATATGACTCCCTTTCAGGTCAAAGCCAGAGGGACCTTTCCCCCTTATGTGCTAGGCCATCTCCCACCTCCGAGCCTTTGCACAGAGGGTCCTCAGCCTAACCGTTTCCCCCTAGCCGCCACCTCATTGACAGCTGAGGAAGAAGGGAGTGAGGGAAGTGCTGTGCATCTGTAGAGTTATGAGTGGAACGGAACAGGAAATAGAGCCAGGGCCTAGACGAAAGACCCACGTGGCCCAGTGCTCCTGGGATGGGACCCTCCCGCAGCAGCTCCTTCTCATATGTGGCCTATGAAAAATGTTGCTGTGCTCTGTAGAATGCCCCTGGCTTGGGCCCCAGGTCCTCCTCCAGAAAGGACTGAGCTTCCTTTCATCCCACCCCTTGGGAGGAAACTCCCAGGCCTTTGTCTGGGGGAGAATGCCTGCCGAGTCAGGGGCCCTGGGGCAGATCATTCAGCCTCCACTCTCTACCCACCCTGCCGGAGGGGGCTTCTAGGCCCAGCCTGGCTCTCAGTCTGAGCCTTGGCTGCTGTGGGGGACAGCGGCCAGTGTGATCCCCAAATCCAGGTTGGGAGGGCCTCCCCAGGCCTCTGGTGTGACCCAGACTTGAGCAAGTCCCCTCTCTGGCCTCCCTGACCAATGGCCATCTGGCATGGGCCTCCAGGATGAGGAAAATCACCCTCTAGCTCCCCAGTACCAAGCCTAAACATGAGCTGGTACTCCCAGGCTAATCCTTCTGCTGGGAGACAGCCCTTCTGAACACTGAAGACAGTCTCTTCTACCCTACCTCCCTCCCCGTCTTTTCTTCTCCAGCCTAGACATGCTCACCATCCAGTCCTCATGGGCCTGACTTCCAGGCCCTTCCCCCACCAATATCCTTTCTGTGCTGCACCCTCAGTTCCTGCCGAGCTCTCCGGGGGGGGGGGGGCGGACCCCCATCCCCGCCGAGTCCTGGACACATCCCTGATGAAGGGGCAGCAGCGCCCCAAGCTGCTGGCTCACTTTGGAGGCTTGCCCCTGTGTGTCAGAGAAGCTGTGGAGGATCAGAGGCATGTTCAGCATTTGCTGTCCCTGCCTAATGGGAGAGACTTTCTTCAGTGCCCTGCTAGAAGGGCACTGCTGGGCCGGGCTCGGATTGCCCCTGGAGCATCACCCTGGGCCAGACCCAGGAAAGGGAGAGGCTCGTGAAAGGCCACTTTGACCTCTGAAAAGAGCCTGGGCTTGAGGTGAGAGGCCTGGCTTTCCCACTGACCGCCACATGACGAGAGCCACATTGGTAAAACGGAGATCATATATGCTTGCGCCCTTGAATGGACATGCGGCCCTGTGGAAACAGATCTACCTAGGGAGCGTGCCCAGGGTGTTGCCCAACAGCACTGACATGGAGAGGGGGCACTGAGACTCCCAGGAAGTGTAGAACTGAGCGGTTCCCAGCCTGTGGCTCTCTCAAAAGCTCCCCTCCCCCCAACAGCAGCTTTGGAGGGTCTCTGGCCCAGGGAGAGGCAGAGGAACTGATGTCTCCACCTCTCTCCCCTCAGTATTTAGGCTTCTGCCACAGTAGCGTGGGACCTGCTAACTTTAAATTCTCCTGCACCTGGAGAATTCATTTCTACCAGACTGAAGAAAAGCAAGGCTGGTGAGCAGGGTCCCAAATCTGGAGGCAGTGAGGCTGCCACCACCTCCACCTCTGCTGCTGCTGCGGCTGCCTGGCGCGAGCTGTGTCTGCTCCCCCTTGGATGTCACCCAGTCTCTCTCCCATCTTGCTCAGTCAGACAGTGTGGCTTCCATCAGTCTCCATGGCACCAAGTTGGAGATGGGGTGGATTTCTCCTCCCTGGGGACTCGAGGAGTCCCTGCTCAGAGCTGCAGCGACCTTCACAGGCACCTGCCCTTCGAGCTCGCCCTCCACCTGGAGACCTCTGGCTGTGGGGCTTGGTCCTGAGACTGGGCGAGAGCCAGAAAGTGGAAGCTCAAGGACGTCCAGGCCAGAGGAGTGTGGCGTCAGGGGTCCCAAGTTCTCATCCTTGTTTTAGCCTTGGCCAACTTGTCTTCTGTGGACCTCAGTTTCCTTACCTGCCAAAGGTTCCTTCTAGCTTGAACCCTGCAGGTCAGAGCTTTCTGGAAGAAATGCCACCAGGGGTCCCTGAGGACAGGGGGAGAAAAATGGCTCACGCTCTGGGAGCCAACTCAAACTCAGGCCAGACCCAGTCAAGGGTCACACCTCCTGCCACTCAAGGTCTCTTGCCAGGATCCCACCCTCAGTCCAACACCAGCCTCCTTCAGCTGGTGAGACTGGCGGGGTGTGACCAGAGCAGAGGTGGATTCACACTCAGTACCTCAGAACCAGGAACATGGGGAGAGGGGATGCCTGTGGTCATCCAGTGTGCACGAAGCACAGTCATGTGTGAGAGAGGCCCCAGTAAGATAATGAGATAGTGGGGTAGGAAAAGAGCTTTGTGAGTGAACCTCAAGGCCTTGGATGCTGACATCAGTGGACATGTATTAAGCACCTGCAGTATACCAGCCACTAGGGACAGTCTTTGTCTTCAAAGAGTTCACTCACCTTCAGTAAGAACCAGTGCACGCGTGGACACATGTATGTTCAAGAGATACAAAGGCGATTATGCAGGAGAGAGGTCAGTGGCTGGGAGGAAAGGGGCAAGAACAGCCTCTCGAAACTGAGCAGAATAAACTTAAAAATATGTCCTGTAGCCGGCTGTTAAATATTTACTAGTATACCCCTCCATTCTCCCAAGGACAGCAGGGAAACATTTATTCACAATGAATATATATATCGCTAAGGGAAGGCAGTTTCTGTCTTCAGTGGAGACCAGTAGCCAGAGGAGGGCCCTTTAGTCTGGAAAGCTGCGGGATGGTGAGTGGGTGGCGATTGACACATCCCAATCTTGTACCATGCCGAGGGAAGAGGCCGGCAAGGAGGGGTTGAAAGGTGTGACCGTGTTCCCCCTCAGGGCTTTCTCTAGAATGCCTAGGGATGTCCTCTGGGTAGTAACTGGCTTTCTCTTCTTCTAGGACAGAAGCTACTAGATTCTCTGGCTGAAACCTGGGATTTCTTTTTCGGGGATGTCCTGCCCACCCTCCAAGCCATTTTCTACCCCGTTCAGGTGAATAATTTTGTTACAGTGGCTTGCCACCTGGGTCCACATCCAGCTTTGCCATTTGCTAGCTGTGTGACCTTGGACAAGTCACTTAACTTCTCTGAACTTCTTTCCCAACTATAAGATGGGACAAGTAACTTGCACCATCCCATTCCTGGGATGCTCTAAGGGAACACATGCTGTGGACAGTGAGGCAGCCATGGTCCAATTTGGGCATTCCCCTGTCTCTGGTCCAGGCACGGGCTCGGGGTGCTGATTGGCATTGACTTGGGGAGGTCACTCTAATCTTGGTCCGAGGGCTGTGAGATCCTCAGGGAAGGGGGAGCTATGGGCCCTGTCCTAACTCTGGCCCTTGTGTCTGCAGGGGAAGGAGCCCTCTGTCCGGCAGCTGGCCCTCCTGCACTTTCGCAACATCATCACGCTCAACATTAAGTTAGAAGATGCCCTGGCAAGGTCTCGCGCCAGGATCCCGCCCTCCATTGTCCAAATGCTACTGGTCCTCCAGGTCAGTGCTCATGTGGGGTGGCCCCTGGTGGGCTCCAGGATCCCTAGAGCAGCCACACGTGGCCAAGGCTGGCCTCGCCCGTGCTCCTGGTTGGCACCTCGCCCGTGGGCCATGCCCTCCCCTGCCAGCCTGTCACACACTGTGCCTCGCCAGGCCCATCTGAGGGCTGATGCAGAAAAGGTGGTGAAAGGGAGCAGGTGGTGTCTGGTCAGGTAGTCCAAGTGGCTTATCCTTTGGGGGTCCCAAGGGAGCCACACACTCAGGAGAGCTGGGCGGAGGGATCGCTGTCACTGGCTCGCCAAAATACAAGTGTAAATGCATCAGACAGGCGGTGCCAGCACCTGTCCTCTGAGGGGCCCCTTGGATGGCGGGTGACAACAGGTTTTTTGTTGTGTGAGAGGCCTCCATTGTCTGCCCTAAGGTCAGCCTCAAAGGTTCAGGTGCCTGGGCCATTCTCGTCCAAGTGGCCACTTGGGGCCTTCCCTGGAGACTGACTATCTCAGGAATCCCAGCTCAGACCTCTGCTGATCATGCATATCCACAGCAGGGCCTTTGCTGATCACAGTGTTACGTCATTGATGAGATACTATAATCATGCATCATTGCTCACATGGCTTCATTCATTCAACAAGCATTTATTAAGCTCCTACTATGTGCAGGGATAGAGGAAGTGAATGGTTAGAGAGCAGGAAGTCCTGGATTTCAAGTCCCACTCTGACACACAGGACCACCAGTGGGGCTGTGTGACCCTGGACAAGTCACTTGACCTCTGGGTGACCAGGCAACTCTCTGAGGCCCAAAGTTACAGACAAGCTGTTGACCTGTATCGATAGAGAGCATTTCCACGTTCAGAGCTCCCTACCTTCATGAACTGGGAGGCGGGCAGCTCTTCCCCATCCAGGGCCTCCTGTGGCCCAGCCCTTGGCAGGGGCAGAGGAAGGGAGGCCTGCCCTGAGAAGAGGCTTGGCCCGAGGGCCTGGTGTGCATAGCTGGAGGTCCGTTCCTCTTCCTCCATCCAAGCAGCTGGGGGCTGCACACTCTGGTCAGGCACTGCCCAGCTGCAGGGGCATAAGAGAAGGGAGGCAGATAGGGCTGGTGAGCAGAGCCCAGAACCTGGGAGAAACCACAGAGGAAACCCATGACTAAGGCCAGCTGGGACCCCGTGCACCACTGGGTGCCACCCCCTCAGTTACAGATGAGGGAACCGAGGCCCCAGAACAGGAAGCTACTTGGCCCAAAAAAGGAGCAGCCTCAGGACTGTGGCCCAGGTCCCCTGGATGCAAATGTAGGGCAGCACACTGGTCACTAGGCGTGGAGCCTGGACCTTCCCAGGAGTCGCTTTCCTTCACTCTTGGATGAGCCCCTGAGGCCAAAGAGGCTCGTGGCTTGCCCAGGGTTGTACCAGTTGTGAATCAGCAGTGGTGGAATTTGAATGCAGATCATGGGTTTCCAAACGCAGGCTGAATCACAGACTTACAGAATATCCAAGGTGGAAGGGACTTCCTAAGACAGCGGGGGCTCCCTCTTGGCCAAGCTCCCCAGCCCACCTACCCCAAGGGACTCCTCGAGGCCAGCGGCTTGCTTTCTTTCATTCCTTTTCTTTCTCTTCCTTTCTCCCTCTTTTTTTTTTTTTTTTTTTTTGTGAGGCAGTTGGGTTTAAGTGATTTGCCCACAGGGTCACACAGCTAGTAAGTGTTAAGTGTCTGAGGCTGGATTTGAACTCAGGTCCTCTTGACTCTAGGGCTGGTACTCTATCCACTGTGCCACCTCGTTGCCCCTCTTTCTTTCCTTCTCTCTCCCTTCGTATCTCCAGCACCTCACATAGCACCAGCCACATAGGGAGGAGACACTGGATAAGTGGGTGATGACTATAACTGAATGATGAACACCTCAGTACCTCCAAGTCAAGCTTGTCCCCATTTGGGAACATCTCAGTCCTTAGGAAGCCTTGTCTTCCACTGCTACGTGGGACAGAACCCACCTGTCTGAGGCTTCGTCCCTGGTCCTGCCCTCTGGGCCCAGGCAGAGCCAGGCTAGCCCTCACCCTCCATAGGACAGCCTTCAGATCTCATGTTCCCTCCCCAGGTCTCCTCTTATCCAGGCCAAACAAATCCCATATGGGGCCAACTCAAGGTTCTTCCCCCGGGAGCTGACCCCCTCCAGACTCTCTCCAGCTCATTAAAGTGTTCTTGTTAAGCCATGGTGTGTAGAGCTCAGCCTAGAACCCAACTGTGAACTGGCCACGGAACCAATGGATTGACTGACCATTCTGTTCTTGGCTTGGTAAGGTTCTAGGCTCAGCTCTGGGCTGTGTAACACAACCCAAGGTAACCTCCCTGTTCTTGGCATTAGATTCCTAGAGAGCTGGTGGTCCACTTAGACTCTCAGAGCCTATTCAGACAAACTGCAGTCTGACCATGCCTCCTGCACTCTTTCTTTGTCACAGTTCAGCATCTTTCTGGCCCCCTTTGGGGGTCACCAGCACTCCAATTCTTCAGGCACTGTGGATGTCTGTGGTTTGAAGCCCTGCCTCCGCTATGGCAGGGAAAATGGGGCTCTGATTCAGATACAAGTCTGGGGGCCCTGAATGCCTGACACAATTCCTCTTCCCCTCCCTTCTTCTCGTGACTTAATCATCCAGAGAGATTATGGGATGGAGAACGTCAAAAGGGAGCTCTAAACAAAATGGCGGATTTGTCCACGTGTCTTCAGTTCAGCTGAGTGGTGACAGAATCGCCCTGCTCATGCTCTCCCAGGATTCCTTCTGTTTTCTTCTCCACGTCTTGTTTGTTGGTGTCTTCTTTCCCCCCTCCTCCCCAGCCCAGGTGCAAGCCCCCTCATCACCTCCTCAGGGCATCAAGCCCAGCACAGCCCCGCCCCGCCCCCCAGAGGTCTGGCCGCCTCCTCCTCCTCCCTTTGGGGGGTGCCGGTGACACCTTCATTCTGGGGTTTCCGCTCTGACCCCGCCGCCGAGTCAGCCTGTCTACAGTCTGTCTGTACAGAATTGTTTGCTTCTTGTCTTCCCCGCAGACTGTAAGATCCCTGAGGTCCCGGCCTGTCTTCTGGTTTTCTTTGCCTATATCCCCAGTGCTTAATACAGGGCCTGACACACAGTAGGTGCTTAATCAATGCTTCTTGACTTGCCACCACATGGTCTGTCCCCTTAAGGAGCTCATGGTGTAGGATGGGTGTGCCCCCTGCCCCCAACACAAACACAGCACCTTAGGGATCAAAGAAGGACACCTGACTATTGCTTTGAATATGGACTCTGCTCCACTCCCCTACACATAGCTTGTAGATATGCCCTGAGGGCAGCCTCTGGTTCTTGAGGGTCATTAAATAGACTGAAACCCGTGTGCTTCCTTCGGAAGCAAAGGCAGCAGACCCAGTGGGGCCCACACAGTCAGTGAGGAGCTCTGTCTACAAGCATTAGGGGGATTTTTGAGAAGGGATAGCAACCCAGCTTGGGATGGTCAGGGAAGCACTCAGGGAGGCAGGGAAGGACGGGAAGCGTGGGTCGAGGGGCCATTCCAGCCCATGTGGGGCTGTGGGGACAGGCTGGGAGGCAGAAGGCCACAGGTGCCCAGAGCATGAAGTCTATGGAGATGACGTGATGTGGGATAAGGTGGGTAAGGTGGGGATTGCAGAGAGCCTTGGAAACCAGATTAGGAACCTGGCCTCCATGTAGTGTGTGTGAGGGCAGCGTCGGAGCCCCTTGGGAAGGGCGGGGCTGGAGGATTCTTTGGCAGCCCTGGAGAGAGAGGAGGGAGAGGAGAGCCCTGAGCATGAGGGGGGGGGGGGAGGGAGGCGTGATAGAGCCTGGCCAGAGCTGGGTGCCAGGAGGCAGCAGAGACCATGGATGGGAGCTTAATGGGTAGGGGAGGTGTATCAGCTGTGTCTGCCGCTCTGCCAACCTCAGGCTCAGAGGAAGGGTCTCAGGAGAGTGACCCCGAGCTCTGCAGCCGTGGTTGAGATGCTGGCACCCCTGGTGGTGACGGCTGCAGATGCCGCATCTTTCACCCTAGAGACATTCTAGGCTCTGGGAGATGGGAGCCTGTCAGAGGAGGTATTGGAATGGGATTCCTTCCCAGCATGGCCCATCACTTACCCCAGGCTGCCGACCTGGCAGCCCCTCACTCCCTCCACCACATGCCTCGTGCCCAGTGGCTTTCCCTCTGCCTTCTCAGGGGGTCCATGAATCCAAAGGCATCACAGAAGACTATTTGAAGCTCGAGGCTCTAATCCAGAAGGTGGTCTCCCCATACCTGGGTACCTACGGCCTCTATTCCAATGACGCACCCTTCACACACTCCTCCTGCATCTTGGGTAAGGAAGCCGGGGCCTCTGGGCCCCACCAGCAGGGAGGTGCAGATTCAGCTCAGCAGCCCAGGCCTCAGTGGTGGCTCTTGGGAGAGGAGGGCCCCATCATCCCCCTCAGCAGCTCTTCCCTCACCCCTCCTCAGTGCATGGTCCGAGAGGCATCCCCAAGAGGTCCTGCTCCCCAGTGAGTATCAGGGTGACTGCTGCTGGGGAAGGGGCTGAACACAGTCACCCTGGGGAACTCACCTGCCATCACATTGTCACTAACTGTTCCTGCTAATTTATCAGCTATTAAGCGTTCTTGCTTCTGCCTGGTCAAGAATTACACATGTGGTCAGTGCCCTATACATTCTGGTGCACTGAAACAAAGGACCAATCACCCAGTCCTAGTTATATCCCTCTCTAGCCCCTTTAGGTTAGAAAGCACCTTCCAACACTTGCTTCACCTAGTCCTCACACAAACAACTTAGGGTGTGTATCATCTCCATTTCACAGATGAAGAAACAGAGGGAGAGAAGGACTTGTCCAATATTACACTTCTCACAGATGATGGGGCTGGGGCCCATTCATTCATTCAATAAGCATGTTGTGAAGTCCTTCTGTGATACTGCCACTGTCTTCAGGAGCCTCCATGAAGCAGGACCTTTCGAGTAGAGAAAAAAAAGAAAGGACAAGGAGAGAGAGAGAGAGAGAGAGAGAGGGAGGGAGATAGAGACAGAGAGAAAGAAAGGGGAGGGGGAGAGAGAGAGACAGAAGGAGGGGGGAGAGAGAGACAGAAGGAGGGGGG